CCTGAGTGCACAGGCACTACCGTTCGTTGTAAGATACCGCGTTCCGTCACACCACATAATACCGCGTTCCGTTATTCTCTGTATGTGTAATACCAAGTTCCATCACTGTCAGTTTGATAACAACCGAATAAAGTAAATTACATGTTACGTGTGCATTACAAACTGATTATTGTCTGGGCCATCTGTCGAACTCCTGATCCGGCGAGCTAGTCCGCGTTCGACCCAAAAGATAGGCCGTTACATGTTATTTATAAAAGTAAGTATATCAAATACTATATCTATATAACCTTAATGACTAAATCACGCGTTGTCAGTTCTGCTCGTTTGGAAGAGCTATCGTTATGTTAAGATCTCTATAATTTTTATCTCCATGAAATAATATAAGGTACGTTAAAAGAATACTGTTTATAATTAACGTTATCGCTGGTATCATGAAATAATTAGGAACTCATTCGCGATTTCTCTTTCGTTCATCATTCTAAATATTATCACACTTCGTTCACTAATCAAGATTTTATTTCTACAGGCATCCAACCAACCTTACTCGTTCTGCGAATCAGCTGTCACCGCGTCATCAGGCTGGATCTGCTGGCTTGACTGGATCAGCTGTTCAACAGGAACTTCTTCGTCGCTGTCAGACAACGGAATTGTGATGTCTGCATCAAAACTCGCGTTCTCCTTATCAGAACTGTCATTATTAGGAATAAGAGTGGATGTGTGGATACGGAGATCATTAGATTTCATCTCCGCTTTGGTTTTCACATCCTCCTTGGTAGCTGTCGACTCACGCCTTGCTGACATCTGGTCTCCGGCCTTGGCTTTCAATAGAAGGTCGAGAGGTGTCAATGCAGCCGATAGGCTCTTAGGCGTCGTTTGCAAGGTCTCCATTAGGGATGTGCCGGATATCCGGCAACTATCCGGTATCCGGCCTATCCGGCCACTTTTTCGCAATCCGGCCGGATAGCCGGATAGTTAATTTATCCGACTATTCAATCAATTCCGCCATTTTTTACTTTTTTTTTAGTTTTTTTGACATTATTGTGTCAATAATATTGACATATTTAACGATTTAAGGGCTTACACCTGAGTAAAGTGACCATATTTTGGGAATTTTTT